GCTTTGAGACACTTTTGTCTTTCGGACACCATATGTCAAAATATCAACTGCTTTACTTCCCATTTCCAATATTTAATCTTTAGTTGAAAAAACTCGCAAACAACGTGTTTCTACGTACAAAAATAGCAACTTCGATTACCAATAGAACTGATTATAGACCCTTCATCTAAGGTAAGATCTTCAACTTAATCTTTATAATCGCAATCCTGTCAACTATCCCAGATACATCCAGGCCACTGAGGACACTCCAGACTCCAGATCTTAAACCGTATCTTCCAGTCTCCAGATTAGAAAATGAAATCTCCCGCATAATTCCCAAGTGTGCCATTTATTGTCATTATTTTCTAATTCATCTATTTTGTTACCTTTTGTTAGGTCGTATGGATAATCCACAGTGACAGTTACAACAGTACTTGTAAAATGTATGGTTATCACAGAAATGAGCGGTATTACTACTGGATATGCCTCTTGGTACAGCATTTACAACACTCTTGGCACTCAACTACAACTCAATCATTTTAACTGTGGGAATTATTGGTGTTGCTATCTACACCATTGACAGTAGGGAATATAAACTATTTTTATTCCCATACTAGAGATATGTATGGTACAAGTCATAGTGATCGCACATGTCTATTGTCAAAACACCGTCTAAGCATAAATTAGTACAATATTTTCACACTCTATATAGCAATAAGGATAAAGATATACTTCAAAGTATACATATTGCCGCCTTTAAAGTTCATCTTTTCTCAAGCACTGTTGAATATTGTAATATACCAAATGTCAATAGTTACAAATCTTCCTATAACCAGTGCTCCACTATAGCAGCTTATACAATCTATTACTCTCTTATTAATCATTGTGGATACTCGACTTAAGGAACTTTCTCTACCCTTGTTAGTAACGAGAATAAATTGTACAGTGTGATTGCTGTGAAAACACATATGTCAATCGATCTTCCTCAAACTGTAAGGATCAGTACAGCTGTGATAAACCTTACTATACAGGCTATAACCACTGATGTCCAATGTTACAATTTGGGTCCAAGCATCTCTCCATTGAACAAGTGCATATTTTCAAACATTATAATGAAATTACTTGATTTTTGTTTTCAGTTGGGACATACTGTATCAGCTCTATAAATGAGCAAAGAAGTAGACTAACAGATTTATCCTCTCTGATAACATACAATTACAGCTCTTTCTGGAATAACCAAAATTCTACGTATAATACCAGTAGTACAACCACGCCCAAATATACGCTCCCACAGCGTCTTGTTTGTTGTGCAAAGGACGCGCGTTCTTTGATCGTCGTGGATATTGAATGAATGCAAATTATCTTGCAAAATTGTGAAAAACTGCAGAATTATAGGTTTAAATAGGGAAAAAAAAAACAAATTCTGTCCGAGGTCTGTATGATAAAAAAAGGGCTTCATAGTACTGTTTACCTGAGGCGTGATGAGAAAAAATGTTTAAAAGGCTGGTTTACACACCACCAGATTCGTCGCCAAGATTTACTGGTAAACTAAACTTGTCGAACACAAAAAAATCAGGCCTAATTTTTTATTTTGGCCTCTCTTTTAGAAAGAGAAATGCAACATGTAAACTGGCTGCCACCAAGGACTATCTTGGCGCGTGTGTTTCTTAAAATTATATTTCGGGGTTGTCCAATTATCCATAGTCTCTCTAACGGAGCAATGTTGGAGAGACTGGTGAATGCCACATTATATGGTGCAACAGCTAATGCAAATACAATACACGAATAGGTCTACTTGTTTTCCAGGCCTAATCTACTGTCATCGAACATGATTGCTATTTCTGGGTGTACAAATAAGACTATTTAATAACTCGATATAAAATTTTTTTCACTCTTGGACTGTCAAATTATTTTTTTCTAAAATCACTTAGCCTTCGCCTCAAAAGTCAAATGAATGTGCCCTGATCTGTGGATTACAAGTTTATTGTTTGATTTAAATTATGAATTTATTAACGGGAGCTTCGCTTTTAGCCCTGGCTAAATCTATATATTGGTATAAACAAATAATAGCATGATTTGTACGTGATATTTTTGGCATAAACACCACTCGTGATATTTCGAAATTGTCACAAATTTCACTCACCTAACGGCTCGTGAAATTACCTATAACAATTTCGAAATATCACTCGTGGTATTTATGCCAAATATCACTCCAAATCATGCTATTATCTATACTAATATCCTTGAAATATCCATTGCAAAAAAAAACAACAACAAATAACCAATAACCGAACACTAAAGTAAAGAACATAATATACAAAATATTTCATTCAGACATTCATGAGGCTAACTACAATACCTATAAAAAAATTACTAAATATGGTTATTCTCCCATACACAATGTGTTTTGAATTCTTACGGAAGTGCAGCCAAATCCCTATTAAGCAGTCAACCTCTTCTGCTTGGCAGTCACCTGCGAGAGTCGCTACTTCCCGAGAGTGACATCTTAATAGTCTCATGTTCTCAGTAAATTTCACAAATCGAAAAAATTCAGCCGTTCTGAACTATCATAAGTCGTGATCCTGATCAAACCAACCGGTTTTGTGGGATTTCTATTGCCTAATTTCATACCGCGCGGGGGCCTGGCTCTACCGGATTTTCCCGGACTTTTTAAAAAGTCCAGTTTCGAAATGGCGGATAGTCAGAGGCTAGTCAGAGTAAAACTCGAACGAAAGCATTCTCTTTCGAAGAAATATTGATCAATATTCCCTCGAAGAATCTGCCTAAACTTAGTAAGGAGAGGACGCAGTATTTCTGATCTGTCATGCCCTGAAACTAAACTAAAGGAGCCGACACTCAGCCACAAGAGCAAGCATTGTTCGATGAACAGGTCGCTCGAACCAAAGATGACTATAAATTTTCTACAGCACTGGATCCCCTGTTTAATTCTACCGGCTTGTGAATAGTACAGGATCATTGCAGGCAAGAACACCGATGTGATTGTGTACGTACCGATCGTAACCTAAGTTTGCTGGAGCAACACTTAAAAGGACAGTACAGAAAGCTTACTTGGATTATTCCCGTCGCGGAAAAGAGAAATGTCCGTGAAAGGTACTGAGTTCAGTGAACTTTGTGGCGTTATGTATGTTAAACCTAGTGTTCTTAAATCACATGCAGGAGAATAAGGGACTAGTCTATACTCAGTGCATGTTAGCCAAAAGGTAGATGTACGTGACGTTCTTGATTGAATTACAAGGTGATTACCCCAAATTGTAAATATGCTTGTAGACCCAGTAAGTTCCAAAAAGAGGCAGCTCAACAAGTGAGCCCTTGTAAGCCATTGCCATTTCACATTTTATCAATGAATTTACACATGTCTTGAGTAGTGTCTAAATTACTAGAATTGTAAAGTAACTTGAATGTACAGAATCACACGCAGGGGCGTCAGAAAGAAACTATATCTATATACAATTTATCCCTCCAAGAAACATTACTTGTGTATGACAATATTGCTCAATGCATGAGGTCTGGTCACAGGAACTGCAGTGCTACTGGACGAGAAATGCCTCTCTTTTAAGACTGAACTCTACTTGCTTTTATCTATGGTTAGTGAGAATTGTTTCTGTTCCGATCTTTAGGATTTTTCGCTGAGACCGCACACAGCGATGGAGGAAAAACCTAATGTAAGCCTTGCCGATCTAATACGTCCCTCAGGGTCACTTTGGCGTGTTTCGCTTTTTGGTAGTCTTTATTTTACGGTTTGTAAAAACAGATACGCCAACTTCCTTATCATTCCCCAATAAAAGCTAAACGCGACTGTTCTTTCTTCAAATTTTTTTTGTCGAACAATTCGGGAATACGGTACTTCCAATACTTCCAAGTAGCGAAAGTCTCCGATTTGATCTTTCTTTTCTCAAGGTTTTTAATCGAAGTCCTTCATAGCAGTAAAACAACTGTTCTTTGTTGTAGAATATTAACTTTCTGGAGTAATTTGGCCCTTAATATCGTTTCAACTGCACGCAATGACCTTTGCTTTACGCTCTGTTTTGGAAGCCATATTGAATGCGGAATTTAAAAAGTCCGGGAAAATCCGGTAGTGCCAGTCTCCCGCGGGGTATGAAACTAGGCAATGTCATGTTTTTGTTGGTCTCGAGTCTTTGGATGTTCGTTACTATTTTCTGTCCAAAGCATGCCGTGACAGGCGACGTTTGACGTCATAACATCTTGACCTTTCATACGGCCTCGGCGGAAACCGGCGGGAAAAGTCTTCACGCGTTAGTCGGGTCTGCTGCTCCCGGAGCTGAAATACACTTCAACATTATCTTGTTGACGTTATGATGAAACAAAAAAAGTTTTTTTGTACAACGTAATCTTAACTTTGCGTTGATGTATAGAAATAATATCGAGTTTTATTCCTTCTTTGCCACTGAGTGGACTGCGAAATTTACTGAGAATATAGGACTGCCGGGCATTTAGTATTTTGAAAACCTTCACCGGCAGTCGAGCTGAAAAAATTTCTAAGTGTCACAAAAAACGGTTTCGTCTTCTGAGCCCAACGTAAACCAAACACTGGACTTGAGATCTATGAAGCATTTCAGGATCGCTTGACTTGCCTTAATCGACATATGATAGTTTAGATTAGCTAGAATCTTTCGATTTTGTGAAATTTACCGAGAATACAGGACTGCCGGCCATTTAGTGTTTTGAAAACCTTGACCAGTTACCGGCCATATAGCCACAGCGAAAGAATTAAGGTATTACTAGTCCGTTGAAATTAAATTTCCAGAATTGACTGCAACAGGTACTTGACCGTAACTGGATCAAATAACATTTCATGATCTTCCGCAGGGTTTGCAGCCGCCAAAAATGCCAAGCCTTCCAGTCGCAGGAGTTGGGTCCCGCCTATCATCATTATTTCATCAGCAATCGTCTTTGTATCGACTGCGATAGCCACGTATTTCTTTATAAAGAAAAAGCGCACATATTCACCACATTGAGCGGATGACCTTGAAGAAGGAATTATGAAGAGCAACAATCTTTTCATCAGTTACAGTTCAAAAGATGGTGCGTGGGTCAATGAAAATCTGATTCCCATTCTCGATAAACACTCAATATCCTACAGCATTCACACAAGAGAGTTGGGAAAGCCCATTGTCCAAAACATGGCAGACAGCGTCTACAGCAGCCGCAAAGTTCTGATTGTCTTGTCTGACAACTATTTCGCCAGTAACTTCTGTCGAGATGAGCTGCACATGGCCGTCCAGCGGGAGAAAGACGCTGCAGACTCCTCACTGATTCTGGTGGTGTTCAGTAAGTTAAAGATGCAGAGGTTCATTACAAGCCGCAGGCTCGATTTTCGGGGGATTGCGACGTTCAGCGTCGCAATCTTCGCATATTTCTGAAGGGCGAGGCGCCAAGTCTATTGTTTTGGACCAAGGGTTATATTACATCAAGAGACCCTGAGCCTATCTTAAAGCTGTCAACAATGTTCGTTTTATTGAGCAATCTTTCATCCTGACACTTAATCCAGTTTATCTTAAGTGGACACCCAACCTAGTTGCCCGTTTCACGTGCACTGTCGAAAGCATAATATCAAATAGACTTCAAAAATTCTGCATTGGAGCTTCACTCTTCGTCTTTAATTTTAGCCGACCCACTCAATAAACAATAAATAAGAACAATATTACCGAAAAATAATTACAACTGAAAACTTGATGAATAAACAATGAAAACAGCAACTCAATTATCTCTCAGGGAGATCACCCGCCAAAGCGGATACCCGCGAGGTTTGTTCGGTTTCAACATAGACGGAGGAAATTTTTACATCGCTAGTATAAATCTGGCCTAATTGTCACATTTGATCGAAGAGAGATATTTACGCAAAAAAAAACTATCACAGTTCACAAATGATTTAGACATTATCTTAATATTTTACCTTAAACTGTCGAAATTAAAGTATTGCCGCCCGCGGACAAAACTAGCTTTTTTCCGGTTTCCGGTGTACATCAAACACATGCATCACGCTGAATATTATCCAGACTGAGAGCCGTAGATCAGAAAAAAATCACAATTACTAAATTTCGCTTTTGAAACCAACACCACTTGTCGTAAGATTGGGCGCATCGCATAAGAGCTAAAGACTTAAGAGGGAGAGAAAATAAAAATCTACTGAATTATACACACTAACGGTATGAACAAAAACAACAACTCTGTATAAACGACTAGCTAAAACACGATCGATTCAAGCTGTGACTTACTTTATACTTTATCACCGCTTCTTAAGTATGGGCGCGCTGCCTGTAAGCCATTAGGAAGAGGACAGAAAAATCTACCGAATTATACAAACTAAAGCAATGTAAAAAAGCTGCATTTACTACCTAAAACACGATCGATTTTAGCTATGTACTATTCACTTTTAAGAAAATCTCCCTTCACCTCTTAAACTTGGGCGCGCCGCCTGTAAGCCAAAAGGGAGAGGAGAGAATAATCTACTGATTTACCAAACTAA